GAGTGAGACTCCAAAAAAAAAAAAAAAAGTAAACGAGAAAAGAGAGCTGGGTGAGAGGGTGACAATTCCAAACAGAATGAGTAGGGCACTGACCAGACCCCTAGAGTCACGGGGCACGATAATAGAGCTCAGCAGGGCCCAGCACATCTACTCCCTGGGTGGTCACTGCTCCCATCCAATAGCTAAGGAAACTGAGGCATGGAGCAGATCACCAACACAGCCAAGGGCACTCACCGGATTCATGGGCAAGACTGTAGCCCCATGGGCATGTTTAAACAGTACCCAAGTGGCCCCAGGCCAACCCCAGGACACAAAAACACACAGAGAACACAGGCAGGAGGATGATGGGTGCCACCCCCAGATACTAAGCCAATGGATGTGAGGGCCTCACCTTAGCCCATCCAGGAGATATGGGTCCAAAGGCCACCAGGGAAGTACACTCCTTCATACAGGGTCCCAGCTTCTTCACCCACCTGGCTCGCTCTCCTCTAGTTGGGGTGAGCCTCTGGGCAAAGGAGACCAGATCCCACAAGGGTGCTGGGGCCTGCTGGAGCCAGGCCCGCCTCTGTGCAGCCCCTGCCAATAGCTCTGGAGCATCACACTCAGGTCTGAGAGGGTGCCTGCAGGCCCCATGTCTCCTGACTCCTTCCAGGAAGCCTGACCCTTGCCTCCAGGCCAGTGAGAGAGAAACAAGGAGTACCACACACCATGCTGATGTCCAGCCCTGCTGACAGCTTCCAGAACACCTAAAACCCATTCACCATCCCCAAGGATCCCACTATCACATCAATAGAAAATTATGTTTTGCTTGGCAACAAAAACACTTATTCTCCAGTTGCCTGTTACCAACAGAAAGGTGCTGCCTGTACTGTTGGTCAGTGCTGCTGGATTTATTCACCAAAACAATAGCAGGAAGTGGTTCTCAACCGAGGTTGGACCTGTCCCCTGGGGGATACTGGACGATGACTGGGGGACATTTTTGGTTGTCATGACTGGGGAGGCAGCTCCTGGTGTCAAGTGGGTGGAGGAAGGGATGCCGCTCAGCACCTGTGCCACCCAGGATGGCCCCATTCCAGAAGATAAGCCAACCTCAGTGTGTACAATAAGACCTAGGAGAGACCTTGATTTAGAGTTAAATAGGGAAGAGCAACGTCCCAGAGGATGTGATTGTCCGACCAAGAACCCACTCTTTCTGGGACTTCTCTACCTCCAATGTCAATGGTGGTCATAATGCAACAGCATCCAGGACACCTGTCTCTGGTGGAGGCCACACGAAACAGCATGCTAGGGGCAGCTGCTAGTCTACAGTTTTCTGACATTTCAAGAGAGATAGCTAAAGAGTCAGGTGAGACACTAAAAATTTAAGACTGGGAAAGTAAAAACAAAAGGGTCTATTGGACACCAGATGTCCTTACAGAGTAATGAGTTCTGCGATTATAGGTTCCATGAGCCTGGGCGACCTCTCATCATGCAGGTAAAGCCTGACACACCACCCACTCTGAACCCATGACCAGAGGTGTCTACTGAGAGAAGCAATGAACTCACTACCTCAGTTCTACTGGAAAAATATCTGTCCATAATCCCAGTCTGCTAAATGAACAAAAACACTTCATTCCCAATTTTCCTGCTCTAAAAAGAGTGCCTTGGGCTACTTTGTACATTTCTACCTTCCATTACAAGCACTGCTGCAGTAAAGACATCTGGGAATGGAGGCAGGAGGCTTCACACACGCCCACGATGCCTGGTCTGCACACTCGTGAGCCACACTTTACTTGGCACCTGAAGCAGGTGCTGATGGGCTGCATGAATGAGGCCACTTCCAGCTGGTCTAAAACCCAAAGCTTTAGGGGAAATCCCCTGGGATGGGTGGAATGGATTGTGGCTGAACACTCCCCAATTTCTGCCATGATGAGGATCTGGAAGGAGGTCTCCAAGCAAAGAATGTTTAAAGAATGTCACCTGAAGAACCCCAGAGCATCCCAACCACACTCAGGGCCCTGCTAGCCTGGCACGGCCCCTGAGGAGCCTCACATGGGTCCTGAGTAAGCTTCAGCCAAAGCTGGGAGGACAGACAGACAGGCCACATGTCCATTCCAGCATCCCTGCCTCCACCCACCTAACACCAGGAGCTGCCTCCTCAGTCATGACAACCACAAATGTCCCCAGTCATAGTAAAGGAGGTGGACTCCAGGTGAGTAGCAAATCTGGGGGTGGCCAGGACCTCTCCTGCCCACACCTGCCTACAAGCAGCTAAGCCCCTGCCCCTACCCCAGCTCCACTGGGCCATGCAGATTTCAGGGGGCAGGTAGGTACCACCAGATATAGCTTTGACGACAGGAAAGCTGTCATCAGGCTTTCATGTCCTGAGGTTTCATTACAGGAAACCCCTTAACCCACCATAAATATGCATACACATGCGTGCCAGCAGCTCAGAGCCAGGAAGATCCAGGTAAAGGGAACCCCCATGTACCCACTGCTCGCTCAGAGCTAGCAAAGTGCCACATTCTCTACAGTGGCTGGCCTCCCTGAGAGCCAAGAGCCCCCACCTAGAAAGCAGAGGAGTGGGCAGAGCAAGAGCAGATGCTTCCCAGGCCCGTCTGTCATCGCAGAGCCTGTGTGCACCACATGCAATGTCAATGTGACTCCACAGCTGCTGAGTGCTCCTGCTGACACGTGTGTGAGCAATGCCTCCCCCGCCTGCCAGCTCTCCCTTGAGTGCCCACCAGACATCGGCGCACATTCATCCCCATGAGCACACAGGATACCCTCTGCCAGCCCCCTCAATGAGTTTCAGAAAGAATTTTCCACATCAGTTGGAGAGAAAGCAGCATGTACACCACCGAGAAGAGTGAAAAGAGCACACAAAACAAAAGACAGAGGAAAGACATGCTCTGAAAACACTTGCCTCACAAAAACACTCGGGCTATACAGTTTCCCCTCCACTCAACTAAATTAGGGGAAAACTGGTCCCTTGAAATGAATAAGCCTGAAGCAGAACATCAGGGCTCAAGGAAGACAGAGTAGAAAGAGCAAGGTGGAGGTGACAGTGGAGGACAGAGCGATGGGAGCATCCAAGGCTGCAACAGCGGGACAAGAAGTGCTGGACGTACCTGGGGAAGAGGAGTCTGGGTGGAAGTTGGAGGATGCAAACAAAGTGACAGATTGGACACTCAAAGGAGCCTCAAAAGGAGAGAACAGGACAATCTGAGGTATTACTAGCCACAACCCTCCTGACATGACAAATGGCTCGACCCAGACCCAGTGACAGCAAGGGCCTCTGGATCCCTGGAGAAGTAGAGACAGGCCAGAAGTGAGATGATGGCTTGGAGGACTCAAACTGAAGGGACCCCACCTCCACCATGGGCACTCAAGAAAAGGCACCTGAGACAGCAACTGCAGCTAGGCAGGCTCAAGGGAGTGCTTTACATTGAGGTGGTGGCACCAAAGCCATTTCAAGGGAGAACTGAAGCTAGAATGGTGGCAACTGTTTCCACACTGTCCTGGTGTGCCTTGGACAATATCAGGCTTGGGGGGCAGGACCAGTGCTAGAGTCAGCTGCTTCCTGATTTCCTAAGACTGAGAAATACAGAAATAACAGTGTGAACTTGACATTAAAGGCACAAGGGACTACTGAAGGAGAGGGTGAGTGTTAGTGACAAAATCCACCAAGACCAGGCAGTGGAGAGGTGGGGGTGGAGATCCTAGGGGCTGGACAAGACCTCAGAGGTCAGTAGATCACAACTCACTGCCTGCTTCTACACAGCCTTCAAGCTAAGAATACTCTTTTTCATTTTTAAATGGTTGGGGGAAAAAACACGAGACAACTATTTTGGGACAAATGAACAAGATACAAGATTCACTCTCTAGGGTAGTGCCATGTGGCCTGTTGAGCTAAGAGCTCTCACTGCTTGGCTCACTGTACACATTGCCTGCCAACCCTGGTCTAAAGGAAAGAAAACGAGGTCTCTCTGCTGAAGTGAAAATCAGAGAGCAAGTGACTTGACAACCCCAAATACACAGATTTTTCATCTTCCAAATAGTTTGGTGAACACCGCCCAGGCAGGCTCACCCAGCACCAGGAAGCACACAGAACACAGGCCCACCTGCAGTCATTGCCAAATACGCAGAAGAGCTGCATGCTGCCATTGACATTCAGCAGCAACATGGGGCATGTCTGTATGTCTGTGCTCACACATGCACAAACACACACACATTATATTCTTAACAGACAAACGAGCCAGGCATGGTGGCTCGCGCCTGTAATCCTCGCACTCTGGGAGGCCAAGGTAGGTGGATTGCCCTGAGCTCACAGGTTTGAGACCAGCCTAAGAGCAAGACCCCATCCCTAAAAAAATAGCCATGCATTGTGATGGGCACCTGTAGTACCAGCTACTCGGGAGGCTGAGGCAAGAGAATCACTTGTGCCCAAGAGCTGGATCTTGCTGTGAACTATGATGCCACGGCACTCTACTAAGGGTGACAAAGTGAGACTCTGTCTCCAAGAAAAAAAAGGGACAAAAGAAACCAGTAACCATGCTGCCTCCAGGCAGAGGCTCATAAAGGGAGCAGGATGGGGAAAGGATTCCTATATTCTACCTCCCGTTTGACTCTGCCAGACCTATACTTTATCAATTTAAAAAAAAAAAATGTTTGACTAGAAGTATAAAGACCAAAAAAAAGGCTTCCCCAGCACCATCTCCCCCAGGGAAGGCTTCTTGGACCCCTGACATCCCTTGGATGAGATACCCTGGGCAGGACATCACCATGGCATAGTTCTGTGTCCCTGCCCCAGCGTACCACTCCCCTAGGGCTAGGGCCTGTACCTAATAAGGTGGCTGGTGTTCAGAGTGGTCCTACCAACAAATCAACATGTGTGCCGCCTTTTGGGAACGCCAATGCTGCGACCCAGGTGACCCAACAGGTGTGCCATAGGCTACGTGAGAGCTGCATTGGTGCAAGATGTCACCCACCTTGGCCAGGCCTGCCCGATGGGCTCCCTGTGACTCTATGTAGGCCACATATTTGTTGAAGTCCTTAAATTCTTCCATGGTTGGGCGAAATGTCATGATCTTACAACTGGGGTTCTGGGCTCCATGGTCTTCAGACCCCATGGCGGCAGCTGCGTGGGCGCCACACCTGCAGAAGGAAGACAAGAGAAGGTGAGCAACCCACACTGCCACACTGCCCTTGGAGGCCTCCTCCTTGGGAAGGCACTAAAAATACCATGGCCACTGAGGACAAAGGCAGCCGGGCCCTAGAAGCCAAGCTGGAGCAAGAGAAAAATCCGAGAGCAGAAGCCTCATCATTCTGCACAGAATACAAAAGACTGCAATGACTTCAACTAATTAAAAGCAGAGGCGTCCTAGTTTTCAAAGCCAAGGCAATACTGGAAGGTAGTGCACTAATTTTAAACTAGGGGCCCTTGGAAATAAAAGCTCTTATCATCAGGGATTCATCTACAGTCACTGGCATCAGATTCAAACCAATATATCAATATATCTACTTCTGAACTAGACGTGCACCGGAGACAGCAGCGACTGCTGGGTTCTCAGAAGTGAGCAAGGCCATAAAGAGTGTCCCTCATGCCCACTGCTCAGGCAGGGCCACTGTGAGGAGCCTGTGGTCACTTAGGGACAGGCCTGGCCATTGGCAAAGGAATCAGGCCCAGGACAGGAACCTCTCTAACCAGCAAGATGGCCACTGTGGCTCACCATGAGAGATGCTCAGTCACAGCTGGTCACAAACAGACACAGATGGCAACACGCGGAAGGTGGCCATGTGACTCACAGCTGGGACAGTCCATCCTTGCTGGGGAGGCTGCAGGCTGCCGTGGCATCTCACATCCTGGGTTTTGGGGTAGGTGTTGGTAGCCACCCCGACCAGAATGAGGGCTAAGTCATAGACTCTGGAAAAAGCTCCCCCTTGGCATATCAAATTCTCTAAATGCAAGGCAAAATACTACAGAGTCCCTCCAGGTTGGAAAAGATAAGAAAAACCCAAGTACACACAAACACAGAACCTTAGAAAAAAATTAACAAAATCCACCTCCCAACTCTACAATCCCCAAAGTGCTGTGCCACCTGATAGAGCAAGGGAGGATCCGGTCCAGGTAGTGAGCTCTCAGAGCCCCCAGGACACAGCCAGAACCTGACCCTTACTCCCCATAGCACTCTCTGTGGCAGACACTAGGGGGCAGCACACACCCAAAAGTACAATGCAGGGTCAGCTCCAGAAACTCCAGCTAGGCTCACACTTTCCTCCAAGCAACTTTGTCAGGGAAAGGCAAAGCTAGGGGATGCACCACCAGGGCCACAGGGGCAGGAGCATAGAGAGCATCTTGAAAACGTAACACCACGCAAAGGGCTTGTCAGAGACACCTGCCTGGGAAGCCATCTAGCTGGGGGCCACCACACTATCCCAGCACTAACCAGGTCCCTTTGAGTGATGACTTACCAATGAGGACACAGAATCCCCTAGAGGGAAGCCCAGGTCACACAGCGGGCAGTCAGTCCGGGTCAGTTCTCAGCCAGGCTCTGCTGTAACCTCTTTCCCTGTGGCACCTGGGTGATGGACACTAGGCCCACCCACGCCCATCAGCCTCATCCTAGCTGGCTCACACATGGCCTCCTCCTGTCCCCTAGTGTCCTACAGCAAGAGCCACACACATTCCCAGGAACTCTTCATGCCAGGCTCTGACCATTAGACTGTCAAGGCCACCCTCTTCTGTGGTGGACGGTCCTGCATAGTATGTGTATTTCGACATACCAGCTTGTCAGGGGCAGGGCTGGAAGGCCCAGGGATACCTCAGACTCATCATCCATAAACAAAGAGCTCCCTACAACTGGCAGGGTGGCTGGGGGGAGGTCACCCGGAAGATACACAGCTGCCCTGGTGGCTGGCAGCACACGCTACAGTATCAGGGGACCAAGTACCATAGTAGCTCTCCATCATCAAAAACGATTTGGCTGAGACAACTTTCCATCTAGAACAGTGGTTCTCAACCTTCCTAATGCCACGGCCCTTTAATATAGTTCCTGTGGGTCACGACCCACAGGTTGAGAACCACTGATCTAGAAGATGGAGAAGGCCGTGCTGGGACAGCAGGGGCAACTTTCTGCACACAAGTCCTGGAGGAAACCTCTGACACACCAACCACTATCCCTTAACGCAGTTCACTGGCCAAGTGGGCATAATTTTTTTTCTTGCTACCTGATTTATGCCTTCGGAAATAACATTTTTTTTTTTTTAAGAGACAGAGTCTCACTTTGTCACCCTTGGTAGAGCGTGTGGCATCACAGCTCACAGCAACCTCCAGCTCTTGGGCTCAGGTGATTCTCTGGACTCAGTCTCCCAAGAAGCTGGGACCACAGGTGCCCATCACAATGCCCAACTATTTTTTGTTGCAGTTTGGCCGTGGCTGGGTTTGAACCGGCCACACTTGGTACGTGGGGCCGGTGCTGTAGTCACTGAGCCACAGGCGCCACCCAGAAATAACACTTTTTAGTAGGTAAATTATAACAAAGAAAATTAAAATGGTTCATAATTTCCACATTCCACGCCCTTGACATATGCATATACCTAAAAATTTAAGAAGTCATTTTATAGAAACCCAGCCCTGGGATTGAGTTTCCAGATTACCAGGAACCTGAGAAGCAGGACCACATCAGCACCCCCAGAGGGAACTCTAGTCACCCGCCCAGACAGATAGGGTCAAGACAGTGCCAGGCCACAAAAGTGACTCTTCAGCTCACCATAAAAGACAAACAGTCCAGTTAAAACATAGGACATGAGCTTAAGTACACACATAAGTGGCCAATGAGCAGGTGAACAGATGCTCAACGTCACTTGGTATCAGCAAAGGCATATCAGAAACACAATGAGATACCCCTCCCCCCAGCTAGGATGCCAGTGTCAAGACAGACGACAGCAGGCACAGGCAAGGATATGGGGAGATATGTTGGTGGCAGTGTTACATGGAGCAGCTGCTTTGGGATATAGTCTGGCAATTCCTCAAAATGTGAAGATACAAGTTAATTGTGACCCCACAATTCCACTCCTGGTATACGCCCAAGAGAAATGAAAACAGCTGTCCACACAAAAACTTGCACACGCTGACCTTCCAAACACCAAGATATGGGCAGGTGAGAGCACAGGGTTCCAGGAGACATGGAGTATGGGACAAGAGCAGCCTTAGAGGACATCATGGCCCTATGGCAGGAAGTTCCAGGACAGAATGGCCTCACAGAGGTTGTCCGACTTAACCTGGCTGGACTGAGACAGCCACAGGGATGAGAGGCAGGAACACAGGAGGCCAAAGTTGGACAACCAATTTAGAATGCATGTTCAGGCTCAGCACCTATGGCTCAGCAGCTAAGACACCAGCCATATACACCAGAGCTTGCAGGTTTGAATCCAGCCCAGGCCTGCCCAACAATAATGACAACTACAACCTACAACCAAAAAATAGCCAGGCATTGTGGTGGACACCTGTAGTCCCAGCTATTTGGGAGGCTGAGGCAAGAAAATCACTTAAGCCCAAGAGTTGGAGGTTGCTGTGAGCTGTGATGCCACGGCACTCTACCGAGGGTGACATAGTGAGACTCTGTCTCAAAAACAAACAACAACAAAAAAAAGAATGCAATGTTCAAGACTGGGCATGGTGGCTGTATCTATAATCCCAGCACTTTGGGAGGTTAAGGCAGGAGGATCAGCCCAGGAGTTGGAGGCTACAGTGAGTTGTGATGAAGTCACTGCACTCTAGCCTGGGCCACAGAGCAAGACCCTGTCTCTTAAAAAAAAAAAATGCAGGCTCGGCGCCTGTGGCTCAAGTGGCTAAGGCGCCAGCCACATACACCTAAGGTGGTGGGTTCAAATCCAGCCCAGGCCTGCCAAACAACAATGATGGCTGCAACCAAAAAATAGCCAGGCATTGTGGCGGGCACCTGTGGTCCCAGCTACTTGGGGGGGAGAGGCAGGAGACTCGCTTGAGCCCAGGAGTTGGAGGTTGCTGTGAGCTGTGATGCCATGGCAATCTACGCAGGGGGACAGCTTCAGGCTCTGTCTCAAAAAAGAAAAAAAAATGCAAATTCAAGAGGCCAAAAGAAAAGTGAGCTTGGCTAGATGGGGGCTCTCATAGGCACCAAAGAACTGAGGTTGGAAGGGGTAGCTTCAAGTGCCTGGCTGATGACTGACCTAACATCAATTTGAGAGCTGCATAAAGAAGAGCCTCCCAGACATCTGTGTATTCATTTGCTAGGGCTGCTATAACAAATGACCACAAACTTAAGAGGCTGAAAACATCATAAATGTATTATTTTCTTATAGTTCTAGAGACCAGAATCCAACACAGATCTCACTGGAGCTGGGTTCCTTCTAGACATTCCCCTTGTCCAGAGGCTGCCTGAACCCCTCAGCTCAGGAGCCCTTCCTCCCCCACTTCAGAACCAGCAGCACAGCATCTTCCACTCTCTATCTTTGACCCTCCTGCCTCCTTTGTGTGAAGATCCTGTGCTGACACTGGCCCTCCAGGTAATCCAGAATGACCTCCCATCCCAAGGTCCTAAACTCAGTGGGGAAAGGGTTTCCCATCTGCAGTAACACATCTGCCAGTTGCAGGGACCAAGATCCAGACATCTTTGGCACCATTATTCAGTCCAGTACAACTTGGCATGTAAAAAAAGGTAATATGGGGCGGTGCCTGTGGCTCAAGGAGTAGGGCACTGGCCCCATATACCGGGGGTGGCAGGTTCAAGCCTGGCCCTGGCCAAAAAAATGCAAAAAAAAAAAAAAAATAGCTGGGCATTGTAGCAGGCACCTGTAGTCTCAGCTACTCAGGAAGCTAAGGCAAGAGAATCTCCTAAGCCCAAGAGCTGGAGGTTGCTGTGAGCTGTGATGCGACAGCACTCTACCAAGGGTGATATAGTGAGACTCTGTCTCAAAAAAAAAAAAGGTATTATGCAAAGAAATATGCAACAATCACCACATCCTTCCAACCTCTCTCAAACTGGAGGCTGCTGCTGGCTGCTGCATCTCAGGTACAAAGAGTGATCTTCCCATGCTGATTCAAAAGCAGTTTCCAGAAAAATCACAAACAAGAGTGAACTTCTTCTGACATAAACAGATGAGGATGGCGCTCTAGGTCATGAAGCACCAAGAGCTGCTCATTCCTGGACATAGCTCACTCTTGAGAGAGTCTGCAGGAACAGCCTGCAGCCTGAGAGAGAGAGACAGAAGCAAGCTCCAGGTGCTGGCTCTCCCACATGTCTGCAGCCTGCCTCTTGATGTTGGTGCCAGTGTTCCTTCAGGCTGGACTCCAACCAGTGGGATTTGCAGATTGTGAGGTTTACATCTTGTTATTACCCCAGACACTCAGGCTGAGGCACTGGCACAAGCCAGTCCAAAGGCCTCAGATGGAGCCACAACGTGGGAAACACAAGCTTGGGGCATGATGGTCCCCAGGTAGAGCACCTGCCGCTCCTGCCTCCGTCCACACAAGAGGTAGTCAGAGGAAGGGTAGGGTTAAGAAGGGGTCAGGCCCAGACCAGTCACTAACCCAGTCAGCAAGTACCTGACACCCTAGGAGACTGTGACCAGGGCCATCCCCTCAGAAGATAACACCTAACACTGCCTAGCCCCAGGAGCCTCTCCTATGCTGAGTGAATACACTGCCCAGAACAAAATCCACCATGGTCTAAGTTGTGCCTCCAAGTCTCTCCACTCCATCCACATATCAGGGTTGCCCAGGCTCAACCTGTCCTTCCACCCAAGTACCCCCAAATTGCTGCAGAGAAATGTGTGAAAAATCACATGTGCCTATGCCTATGTGGGGGCTGTGTAAAAAGCAGATGGAGTTAAATGAAGAATGTTCATCAAGTTCTTATCTTAAGCAAGGCTGGGTGTGATGGCTCACTTTGGGAGACTGAGGCAGGAGGCTCACTTGAGGCCAGGAGTTCAAGACCAGCCTGGGCAACATAGCGAGATCCCATATCTATAAAAAAAAAAAAATTAGCCTGGTATGGTAGCACATGCCTATAGTCCTAGCTACTCGGGACCTGAGGCAGGACCCAGGAGCTCAAGACTGCAGTGAGCTATGATCACATCACTGCACTCCAGCCTAGGTGACAGAACAAGACCCTGTCTCAAGAAATTAATTAAATCAAACAAAATAAAATAAAACAAAACAAAACAGGTTGATCAAGGGAGATAACTAACGACAACCTTGGCATACCCACAAGGGATTATTCCAAAGCCTCTGCACAGAGCAAGCTACTTGCTCAGTGTATGCTACATAGACTGTGGCACCAAGAGAACAGCCAAGTTGAAAGTGCCTGTCTCAGGTGGCACCTGTGGCTCAAAAGAGTAAGGTGCCAGTCCCATATGCCAGAGGTGGCAGGTTCAAACCCAGCCCTGGCAAAAAAAAAGAAAGTGCCTATCTCGTAATGAAGCACAGAATGTAAGGGCATGAGCAGGGATGGTGGAGGCACAGGCAGAACTGCTGGTTTCCAAACCAAGTTGTGGAGGGCCTGGTCCACCCAGCCCCATCTGTAACAAGTTCCTTAACAAAAAGAATAGATGCACTTCCATCTGCATGGAATGAAGAGGAAGCGATCAGATTTTCAGGTCATACACTGTCACAGCTACTCAGTCCCACCACTGTGAGGAGAAAGCAGGCACAGACAATACACAAATGCACAAGACTATGTGCCAATAAAATGTCATTTATAAAAACAGCCAGTAGCAAGGTCTAGTCAATGGGCCTTCTGACCCCTGCCCCAGATGCCTGAAGCCTACTTATTCCCTGCACCCCTCCCAGAAGGGACACTGGACTCCACTACCCTCGCCACTGCCCAAGCCAGGGCAGATCAGGATAAGGAGTGCCAAGGCACTGCATTTGGCACATGGGCCCCAGTTCTAGCCCAGGCTTAGTTAGCTACAGGGCCTTGGATAGGCACCTTCATCCCTCCGCAGGAAGAGAGCACCAGCATGACACAGATGTAGGCAGCACTTCCTTGGTGGCACACGGCCACCTGGGATAGCCACTGAGGAGTCACCACAAGGAGGTCCAGGGGCACTTGTGCCACACTCAATACCCTCCCACCTTGTCACAGCTGGGCCCTGCAGGCATGAGCCAAAGTGATGGCACTGTTCCCTCTCTGTTCATGAGTAGGCCCCTTAGGCTACCACCTTTTTACCATCTGCTATCCAAGGTTTATCAGAAAAGCACAGCAGGAGGAACTGAAACCCAGAACAGCTGGGCAAGGGAATTCTTCCAAAAGCATTTAAAAAGAACCTCACATTTCTAGAGAAACACCACCCCCCATCATAACTTATCCCCATTTCCTACAGTGGGGGAAATAAGCCCCACAAGCCCAGAATAGGTGTGCCCTGGGCCAATGCCCACAGCATAAATAGGGCAGCACTTCCTAGGATGAGCCCAATGTCACCCAAAATGCACAAGGAGCAGAGAGGTTCTTGAGGTTTCTAGAGTGAAGGACAGCCATTTAGATGCCAAAGGCCAAGATGCCAGCATGAGGACCTAGTAAAGAAACATCCCTCCCCCAAGGAGGGTAGTCTACAGAACCCTGACATCCCAGGAATTCAGACCAGGCAAATCAGCCTTCTCCAAGCATACAGGTCTGACAGGCCACCTACAAGGAGCCTGCAAACTTTAGTGCCCAGTCCTTGTGCAGTCACACCCACTGGGGGCCGAGGCATCTTACTTACTTTTAAGTTCCTGGCTATGTCTTAATAGCTGAGGTTGCTCCGATAACTGGTTGGGATTTCTGTCACTATCTCCAGCAGTGGTGATGGTTCCTAAAATGTGCAAATAAAAGCACGATTAACTAAATTGATTGCATGCTTAAGTTTTAATTCTTTTTTTTTTTTTTTTTTTGAGATAGAGCCTCAAGCTGTCCCCCTGGGCAGAGTGCCGTGGCATTACAGCTCACAGCAACCTCCAGCTCCTGGGCTCAAGCGAGTCTCCTGCCTCCGCCTCCCAAGTAGCTGGGACCACAGGCGCCCGCCACAACGCCCGGCCATTTTTTGGTTGCAGCCGTCATTGTTGTTTGGCGGGTCCGGGCTGGGGATTCGAACCCGCCACCTTAGGTGTACGTGGCTGGCGCCTTAGCTGGTTGAGCTATAGGCGCCGAGCCTTAAGTTTTAATTCTTAATTAGACTCCTAACAACTGTGTAGCCCATAGGCACTTGCCCTTACTCAGATTTTTCCAACTCCTTATCAATTTTCAAGAACATGAAAACCCATCACTATAAGCATTTTACCCATTAAAGTCTTGCAACGTTAGCCCATTATTAAGCTCAGCTCCTAAAAGCCAGTAGCTGAGGCAGAACAATCAAAGAACAAGATCAAATTAAACCAAACAAGTTTCTGAAACCATAAGACACAGACAATTGACTCAGCGCCCATAGCACAGTAGTTACGGTGCCAGCCACATACACCAAAGGTGGCGGGTTTGAACCCAGCCAGGGCCAGCTAACCAACAATGACAACTGCAACAAAAAATGGCAGGGTGTTGTGGTGAGCACCTGTAGTCCCAACTACTCAGGAGGCTGAGGCAAAAGAATCGCTTGAGCCCAAGAGTTTGAGGTTGCTGTGAGCTGTGAGGCCACGGCATTCTACTGAGGGCAACATAGTGAGACTCTATCTCTTAAAAAAAAAAAAAAAAAGACACAGACAGCTACTGAGAGATTTTCAAGTTTTGTCTCTACTCACAGCCCCTTCAAGGAGAAAAGCACATGTGGAAGGTGTGGTCTTGTTCCTTCTCTGCCCTGGTACAGGCAGCACAAGAAGAGTGAGGCAGAGGCCATGACCCATGGGACCAGGAACATCCTAGCCAGTGAATTCACAGGCCCAGGCACTGAACAGGTGCAGGACCAAACAGCAAGTTTGGGGTGTGGCACCAACACCGTTCACAAGCTGACACCTGAGACTCACGGATAACCAGGTGCAGTCGGGCCTGCGGTCTCTGAGCCGACACTTGAGCTGCCCCCCGCTGGCTCAGGTTGCCTCACACTTTAGAAGTGAATCTGGGGCAGCACCTGTGGCTCAGTGAGTAGGGCAATGGCCCCATATACCAAGGGTGGTGGGTTCAAACCCAGCCCTGACCAAATTGCAACAAAACATAGCCAGGTGTTGTGGCGGGCACCTGTAGTCCCAGCTACTCAGGAGTAAGTGGTTCTTACTAAGTAAGAGTAACTGAGTAACTAAGCCAGTGGTTCTCAACCTTCCTAATGCAGCAACCCTTTAATGCAGTTCAGTTGAGAACCACTGGCCTAAGCCCAAGAGCTGGAGGTTGCTATGAGCTGTGATGCCACGGCACTCTATCGAGGGCAACAGAGTGAGACTGTCTCTAAAAAAAAATCAAAAAAAATAAGTGAATCTGGTATCCCCTCAGTGGGCCTGACCTCCTGGGCAAGGATGCTCACCATTCAGTTACACCCCCACCCCCAGCCCTGGCTTCGCTGCACACTTTCTACAGTTCGGCAGGAGTTTTAAATAATACAAGTTTCACAAATATCCTCACAACATGCAATGTACTCTGACATTTTCTTAGTTTAATTTGTTTTTTAAAATTACTGGGCACAACACATTCAACCAAGAGTGCTAGGATTGCAGGCATGAGTCACTGCACCCAGCCTCCCTTGTTGTTTTTATCTATCTTTCTATGCAACTGTCTCCCCCACTGCATGGTGGGTCACCCTAGCTGCATGTGACCTAAAAAGCAAAGAAGCCACCAGACCCCTGAGGTTCTGAGCTAAATAGATCACTGATCTGTTGCTACCCAGAGGCTGCTAGGCTGTCAAGACCAAGGATCCCTCTGCCTTCACTCTCTCAGGCCTGAAAGTGCCAAGTCCAAGTTGGTAGGCTAGAGGCTATGGGGCTGAGGTCACATCCCGGTTCTCAGGGGACAGCCCAAGCCTGGACCGTAGTCCACCCCCCCCCATACATGGCAGATGAGAGGTCAGGCTGGCCCTCTTTCACTGCTTCTTCATGGGCGGAGGGCCTCCCCAAGGCCAGACCCACCCACAGGCTCTGCCAGGCACCAGGCCACATAGCAGGAGGTGAGGGGTCAGGGGGCATAGGCAGCTCCCCACACCATAAAGCGCACAGTGGACAGCCAGGAAAGAATGACTTTACAGTGGGAAACCTGACCAACCCTCATGCAGCCAGCAGGCCAAAGTCAACCACAGCAGCCATGCTGGCCAACCTACATCAGGAGGTGGTGTGCATCCCAACCCCTGCAGGATTTGACCAGGACAGATTCACCTCCATTGCCTCCTCCCTGGCACCAGGGCCCATTCTCACTGCAAAAAAACACCAGACAAATCCCAGTGAGGGGTACCTACAGCCTGCTGACCTACCCTCTCCAGGCCTGGCCAGGGCAGCAGAAACAAGGAACATGTGAGGACCTGTCAGCGCCAGGGGAGCCTGGGGAGACCAGCCTGACTGCTGAGTGCCACGTGGGCCATGGGCAGGGGCATGGGGCAGAAAGAGGCCACTAGGGACAAACAGAGGACACCTGAATAAAGTGTGGACTTTGATTATTAACAATGTGTCAATACTGATTCATTAATTGTGACAAATGTATGCCAGTAAGGTAAGATGTTAATAATAAAGAAACCCCGGGAGTGGGGCAGCAGATATGGGAACTCTTTGTACTGTCTAATTTCTCTGTAAATCTAAAATTGTTCCAAACAACAAAGTCTATTATAATATACATAAATATATATATGTATTTTTAAAAGGGCCCAAGTAGGCCAGATATGACTGTGTCCTGCCATGGGCCCAGCCTGCTGACCTCACTGTGAATTTTGGGGAACTCTGGGGCAGTAGGAATAGATCTGGCAAGGGGAGGCCAATTGTGGTATGATCAGAGGCTGTGGTGACAGCCCAGGGTACAGACACCATCACCCCAAGAGGGAACAGCCTGCTGACTACACAATAGCTGCCACACAGCCCATGCAGACCCCAAGTGCACAGACGCTGGTGGGAGCAATCGGTGCCATGGCTGACTCTACTGGGCCCTCGGCCAGGGACCAGGGAAGAGACAAATAGCAGCAATTTGGGAAGAGTAACTACACCCCAACACAGAGACACCAGGAACCCTGCGAACTTGGCCCTCACCCCAGACAGAGATGCTCCTGGCCACTGCACCACCTTCACAAGGCTAGGCCCACACGCTGCCTACCTCCTAACTGGAAATTCTCTAGGCAAGAAAGGGAGAAGAGCCCTCACCCATATGCACTTAGTGGCCTAATCCAGGATAGTTTAGTGCCCAGCCCTACCTACTCTTCCCAAGGCCACAAGCCTAAAGTGGCCCTGAAAAGGGACATGTCATTTCCTGCCTCCCACCCAAGCCTCAGTCTACCAGGAAGGTCCTCCCTTCTGCAGGGAACTCTGTATACCCCTCACAGATTGGAGGAGGCCACTTAGACCTTGGACAGGTCTACAATTTGAACACTCTGTCATTGGATCAGAATGAACTCAGGAGCTTTTGAAAACTGAAAGAGAAATAAATAAAGACACCCATGTACAGGGAAGGAAATGCTTGATAGAAGATGGGAACATGCAAAAGGGGCACAAGAAGAAGGGCTCAATGGCCAAAGCAAGGACAATATGAGAAACAAAGTAAATGATGACAGTACTGGATCATAACCCACAGAACAAAAAATATACAGAAGTCTTTACTGATATAAAAATAAGTTTTTCTTTTGAGACAGAGTCTCACTCTGTCACATGGGGTAGAGTGCTGTAGTATCAGCCTAGTTCATAGCAACCTCAAACTCCTGGGTTCAAGCAATCCTCCTGCCTCAGACTCCTCAGTAGCTGGGACTATAAGAACCATGACACCTGGCTAGTTTGGCTAGTTTTTCTATTTTTAGTAGAGACAGGGTCTCATTCTCACACAGCTTCTTCTCAAACTCTTGAGCTCAAACAATCCTCTTGCCTTGGCCTCCGAGAGTGATGGGATTACCGCATGAGCCACTGCACTCAGCCTAAGGATTGTTTTAAATCCTTTACTTCCGGGGAAATACAGAGACTCACTGGAACTCCTCTGGAGCAAGAGACTTGCCAAGGACAAGCCAATTCCTAATCCTCCTGCCGCCCAAAGCAGCCCTGTTGTTTCGGCAGCCTCAGACCCCTATGCCTTGCCACTGGCCCTCATCCCCTCCTCACCAGCCTAAAGCACAGGGTCCACAGTGGGTCTGTCCTCACTGCCTGCACCACTGGCTCCCCAGCCCCTTCCCACTCCTCACTGCATCTTGGCATGCCTGTCTCTGCCTGCGCTCCCAGAGTGAGCAGGGTGGTTCAGGTGTGGTCACAGGCCTGGCGGCTTCCTGGAGCAGGGCTTGCAGCGGGTGGTGCTATCCCTGGGGGATGCTTGGCTAAAATGTCTAAAGCAGTGATTTTCAGTGTGCTGTGAGAGGATCTTAGGTGTGCTGCACACAAATTTTAAAGATCATTAATTAAACTATTTTCAGAAAAAGTAAATTATTCTTTGACTTTTCTTTTGATCAACATAAGTGTGCTGCACAAGTTTAACTACAGGTTCTAGTGTGGTATGAGATAAAAATGGTTGAAAAACACTGGTGTAGGGACTGTTCTGTTTGTCATAACCAGGGTATAATTTGTAAAGGAAGTAAAAGTTCTACATCCTGTATTTCATCCACTCGAAGGCACCCTGGGCTGTAAGACACACCCCCTACTCCATGCCCACAGGGAGTCCAAGAGGAGACAGTCCTACTTCTAGTTGGGACAACAGATCTCTTCATACACATGGGGTGAGCATGTTACT